CCTCCGGCGGGGGCGAGCAGGGGCGGGGGGCTAGGGTGGGTTTTTGCGTGCAAGGCAGCGTCCAATTTTTCGGAGCGTTTCTTGGTGACTTCCTGGCACCTGCCATCCCTGGGATTTGAGGCATTTTCGGAGAAGATCTGACCACCCAACATATTATTTCTCGAACCTTCATCATGACCTATGTAAGGATTTTCTTGTTTGCTCTCTTGGAAAAGCTGCTGGCAAGTAACGATGTTCAAGCTTTCAAGTCCTTAGAAACCGATTCAACCGACACAACATAGACTAATTGACTATATAATAGAGCTAAAGATAGTGCAAAGGAACCCGTATAAAGATAGTCCGGAGCTTTGCCACATTTTGGTTCACGATTTGATCACACAAGGCGGAGCGTTAGGTCACCGGAACGCTCCTGATCTTTACAGTCTTCCGTCCTCGCATTTCTGCATTAAGGGATCAAACATCCAAACACAGTGTCCATTGATGTCCATTGTGTATACAATCTACAGTAAATTTGGTCTCCAGATTTACAATCTCCACATGAGAACAGGAAGAATGTTCTCCAGGCTTTCGTGTGCGCCAGGATTCCTGGCCCACTATCGACTTACTCGTCTGAATCCTGAACCACCATTGTTTCACTAAAGATTTTACACTGCGAAACCAGCTTAACCATGTGTATACACATATTTAAGCCGCAGTCTAAGGAGAAGGACAGTGAGAGAGGAACGCCGAAACCACCAGTTTAGGTCACCATCCAATACAACTTCCCATGTAAAGCCTTTAGGTGTGGTGTTGAGATCCAGGAGGCTCCCACCCCCAACAGGTGCTGACGGAGATCCGGCGCATCCTCGCGGTGTCGGAAAGCGCTACTGGCTGGGCACAGGAGGTGCCGGCAGTTTTGGTGGCTGGAAAATAATAACCGACGTTTCGACCAACATTGGAATTCAAGGAGCTTAGCTGACACAAATACTTCCTGCTGAACCCGTTTGGGGTCCATGCTTGTAATGATAGTTCTTTTTTGTGGGATTCTGAAGTGAGGAAACATACAAGATATGAGTGGTAGAAGCCTGGCCCATGGGTTCCACCCCACCCGGCAGGTGCTCCGCCTGGACGCCAGCGCCGCGGACCAGCTCGCCCAGCTCGCGCCCAAGGCGTTCCGCACTCTGGCGAGGGAGATCCATCCGGATGGGCGGTCGCCCTTGGACGAGGAGGAGCGGAGAGTGAGCATCGATGGCCAGCCACGCCAATCTCAGCGAGCTGTTCCGCTTTTCGGGTTGATTTGATGGGAAGGAGGGATAGGCTCGGGTGGTGTAGAAGGGATCGACGCCTCTCTATTCTTCCCAACCCCGACATCCTTGGGTTGCAGGCCCCAATAAGAGAGGCGGTGCTTGCGCAACGCCTTGAACTTACATTCTCCCCATGCCCATGCCTGCGGGGCCTCTTGGAGAGAACGTCTGTCCCATCCGGAAACGTCACCCCCAAACAGAAGGCCTCCTGACTGACCTCCCTGCTGGCCCTACGAATCACTTCGCAGGACGAGCTGTTGTGCCACGAGGCATTGGAGAAGCTGCAACGCGCGCGGCGCCACCTGGTGTGCTGCGAGGAGCAGAAGGGTCTGGGGCGCGGCGAGGGACGGTCGCTGCGGCGGCCAGAGCGGCTGCGCTGCGAGGCGGGGTTTGTAGGATGGTGAGGTCGGTCAGTGCGTGTTCCGGTCGGTCCTTCGTTCCAACTCGCTGGTTCAGCTCAAGTCGAGTGGAACAGCGAGTGGTTCAGCCTGGAGTCCACCTGTTGTGAATGCGACCTTTGCGGAGAAGAGCTCTACGGGGGTAGAACGAGCGGATCTCAGATTCCGATGGGGAGCGGTGCATTCCGATGTGAGCCATGCTTCATTTCCTGTTGAAGAGTTGGGAAAGCACTAGGTACCAACCTTGCCGGAGGTTGCTTTTGGCCTGCGGTCCCTCAAGTGCGTGCTGCTAGGTGCTGCTAGGTGCAGCTGGGTGCCAGTTGCAGCCCAAGCTGAGCTGAAACCACTTGTTCCGACCTTAAGGCTTAAATGGATGGGGGTTTGTCGCTATCCGGCTATTCTTCCGAGAACTGTCCCCTCCCAAAAAGAGGGCTTTGCATTAGAATAGGGCAACCCCACAGAACCCCCTTGAAAGACGAACACTAGACTTGGTCACTAATATCCATTGTTTGATTTATCTTATTCCAATCTAGACCCGGATCATTTCCCAAGGGATATGACAAAAGTTGTCCTTTTACAACTTACAACCCATTTAACTATATATATTTTTTCACTCTACAACCTTTTGAGTTGGGTATCTCCAACCAACCAGGTGCGCAACGGCGGCTGGCACATCACCTGGCAGCGGCTGGCGGGGCATGAGGGCTCGGTGCTGCGCTATGAGCTGCGAGCGCAGGTGGGGGTCCGTGTGGGTTCTCGTTTCCGGTCCGTGTGGAGGACATGGGGTGCTGGTTGTTTGAAAGATTCTTTAGGTTTGGAATTCAATCCAATAGAGAACCTGGGGCGATGTTTCAATCGGCAGTTCCGTCGCTCAGCACAGAACATAGACATTGGACAGGGAAAGACGATATTACAGTTTCCTTTGCGACCAACGAATGGTTATCCTCACTTGTCCTCATCCTTTTCCTTGTCATTCTCTTTCCTTTTCGTTCCTTCATTAGCATATCCATTGGGGTGGTGCACGAAATCTTCCTTTTTTGAGACACAGATAAGCAGTCCGTGGGTCATCCTTTCATCTCTGGGTCAGATCCGTGAGCCAAAGACTCGCGCAGAGATTTCACGCGTTTTACAAGCCGGAAACGGGATCGAGTCTCTTTTTGAGCAAGTTCTTGGCAACTTTTGTGGGTTTTGGGACATGCTACTGTGCCTGGAAGACCATTCGTGGAAGGAGAGGTTGGTGGTCTTGGTGGCTTCATATACTATTTTATACGTCCCTCTTCGTGCCAGGATCTTTATTGGTGCAAAGCCGCCAATATACAAAGCGAAGAAGGTGGCCGCAAGAACCAAACAACCAAAAGAGAGACAGGCATCACCTCAAGTTATATTATATATAAAAGCCTTTTTCCACTCTTCCTCCCTCCTTTCCTCCCTCTCTCCCTCCCTCCCTCCCCTCCCTCCCATTCCTTTCTTCTTTGGGAAAGAGGATCTTTCTTTTGATTGGAGCTCTTTGTTTGCCCCATCCAAACCATTTGAACCACGCCGATTCTTCGGTGACGGCATTTTTCCGCGCGAGCCCGCCAGGTCGCGGGAGGGATCGCCTTGGCCACTTTGGCGGAGTTGGATCCCTCAGAGCCCGGGGGCTTCGAAGTGAGCTTGCATCAGCTGCCAGCGCGTGTGAAGAGCTCGTTGCAGTCCAATGGTTGGCTGTCAGTACGCGCCTTCACCCAATCGGAAGATTCAGCTGCAGTCTTGGTTCTTGGTTGTCTTGCGTGGTTGTTCTATGCGGTTCTTGGGTTTTCAGTCTTGAGCCATTTTGGACAGGTTTTGAACAAGAGTGGGCGTCTCAGTGGTTTGACCTGGAGGTCTGGACCCCGCCCCAACATGCCACGCGGCAGTGAGTCAAAGCACGGGGACCCCGGTTCACCGAGGAGGAACAGCATAGATTAGCAGACATGGTCAGTTGACCAGGGTTTGGAGCTCCAGGATTTGACCCACTGACACATGTGACATGCGTTCAATCCTTAAATCCGCAACGAATTTATATACGCAGGTTGGGGTGATTTTTGGTCCCTTCCCGTGTATCATTTTTTTTTGGTGAACCTTGCCCCTCCAAAAAGGATCAAAAAGGAACCCATGTCTAAGGCCAAAAGGCACTCCTGGAAGAGCTGCATTTGCTTCGAACTTAAACACAAAGCCGTCGAACAGCTTCGTCTGCGCAGGTGTCACACCCTCTTGAAGAGCTCAGACCACTCTTTGAGAGCTCTCGCAGCTCACCACTCTTTATTTCCCCCACCTGCCTCGCCCAGGTGTCGCCGCGGTGGGCGGCCGCCTGGGCGCGGCGCCGCGCTCTGCGACGACGAACTCGGCTGTGTTGAGCGAGGAGACCACGCTGTGGCTGCGCGAGCTCACGGAGGCTGATCTGGGGCGGGGCGAGCTCATGGAGGCTGATTCAGAAGACATTTTGGACATGCTTTTGGACCTCTAGAACATCATTCGCTGTTCCGTTTCTGCACTGCATCTTTTGTGGGGCGACCAAAGAGATCTAGAGCAACTCATGCAACTCATAGGAAGGAGACTCTTTCACTGGAAGGATCTGGCAAGCCGGTGGCCGGTGGGGCGCATGGACAGCGTGGATGAAGCCGAGGGCTGGACGAAGCCGTGCGTTGGTGAACGAAGCGTTGGTCCATTTTAGGGGGTGTTGGCTCAGTTGGTGACCGAAGCTTTGGGTTCCCTATCAAACAAGATGCAAAGCGGGCCTGGTCGAATCCCTAAGTGAATGGTCTTAGTTTGGAGGTTGGGAGCTGAAAAAAAGATGCAGCTCCTTTCTTCCCGCCCTTTTTTGGCTTTGTGACTGGCCACCGCGGACAAGTCCCTCCACAAATTCGTCCCCAAACTTGACGCAGCAAAGAGACAAAACCGTGTCGAGATTTGGAAAGTAGATATCTCAAAAGAGAAACCCGGGGGCCTTTGAGGTGAAGTTAGTCTTGAGATGTCTTCACCTAGGGTGCCTGCCATTGACCAAGCCTTCCACGTGTGGTTTTTGCCCCGCTCCCAGCAAGTCTCCCAGCCAGTCTCAGGGCCCGGCCGTTCCTCCCCTTCCCCCACTGCCGTCGACGGCTCGACGTCCGTCACGGTGCAAGGCCAAGGCCTGTGAGATCAAGGAACTCTTCGACTGATGCGACCCGGTCGAGCCGGATCTGAGGAGGGGCCTGCCGAGCTGAGCAAAAGCGTTTACGCTGGGATGTATGTGATAGACATATATTCACTGTACTGGGTGGCACTTAGTGGGTGACGTAAAGGCTGACTTGCAGACCTGGACCCATCCATGGACACAAACAATTTGACTACTTTGAGAGAGACTAAGGATTATGTTATGTAAATAAGGTTCAATCGTTTACAGTTACGCAGACGCTACAGTTTGACATGATTTTCATTTAGTTTTACATTACATGCACGCATCTGGTTGGTTGGTTGGGTGGGTTGGGTTGGTTTGCTTTGGTTGGGTGTGGTTTTGCTTTGTTGGCTTTTGGTTGGTTTTGTTTGGTTTGGTTGGTAGGTAGTAGCAGAAACCTTCCTTTATTACCCAACACGCAAAACAGAAAACACCAAAACAACAGCAGTAGACATAAGCCCGGAAAAACGCAACAACACTATAGCGCAACAACTGAAAAGACAGACCGTGGAATAAAAAAAACTACTTCACAACGTCACACTTACAGATCAACTACTCCCTACACTACACCACTACTCAAGCAACCACTGGGGCATCAGGAATGAGTTGTGGCCAGTTGAACCTCCAGAATAGCGCTGTTGCTGTTGCTGTTGCCCACTCCGGGAAGCTGACGGTGTCCGAACTTTGCTGCCAGACGCGTCGGCGGCGCAGGTGGTGACGCACTGGTGACGCGTCTGGCCTGTTTGGGACGTGTGGGCTGGAGGCAGCGGCTGAAGGCAGCTGAAGGCTGCTTCAATCATTTGTGCAGCTTGTTGCCTGAGTGGTTGCAGCTTGGGTCATCCAGACTGAGTGGAATCACTCAGAATACCAAACGGCCATCCGAAACGTGGGAGGAATCCGGCAGGTTGCATGAAACGAGCGCAGCTCAGGCGTGGGTATCCTCTCTGCATGGAATTCGCCGAACAGATTGGCGGTGGATGTGGCACTCCCATGACCGCACAGTTTGCGACAAATAACACACCTTGAAAGCGAAAATGGTCGTCACTTGGAAAGAGTCACCATCATCATCATCATCATCATCATCATCATCATCATCATCATCATCTTAACTTTCTTCTTCGAAACAGTAATTGTGTGCGGGCAAACACCTTTGGTTCTCTGCGCAGCACAGCCACACCGGTGGTGTGCGACACCGGCGCCAGCGCGTAAACTGGACACGATGGCAGGGTAAGGCAGGGAAAAAAATGCCGGGCCGGGGTGAGGGCTCTGCAAGTGATGGGAATCATTATTTATCAGAAGGCTTTGGGAGGTGTTTCTTTTTTTCTGGTTTCGTTGGAGTTTTTGGGGCTCTCGTGTATCCATTGCATGTGGGCCCGGTGAGTGTTTCTCCAAGATTGCTAAGGTCATGAATGGTTACTGTTGGTCACCAGAAGAGAAGAGACCAGCAAACCCAAGTGTGATCCTGTTGATGGGCAAGACTTACGTAACACCTTTTCGCAACAAGGAGGAAAGCCCCGCATCATGTTTTTCAGTAGTTGCAATTGCATGGATATACAACTTGAAAACTCTTATCTGAATCTAACTCATGCTGGAGAATGTGCCCATCAACATAGTTGTGAAATGCACTGGTTGTTGCGAAATCTTGGAGCTTGCCTCATCAGCCCTGCCGCCCTTAGCCAGTTGGGCCATATCAGTTCATATATCAATAGTTGTCAAGGTGTGTTGTCATGACAGGAATGGTTCACCAGCTAAGTACTCTAAGCAGGTTCTTTTAATGGCCCCCGGTTTCTCCGAAAAAAGACCTGCAGCTGGCTGATTGTGATCGCCGCCCGTTCACGGACCGGGTCGACCATTAAAGGAGAAAAGCCGTTGACCAGGACCCGGTTCAGTTGGGGTCTCCTTATTCACATACAGACACACACACAAAAGGTTTTGTCCTTTTTGTTGGGGGGGGGTGAATCCGTGTGTTGGTGCCCTGCCAAGGCCCTCTGGCCACATCTTGGATCGAGTGGAGCAGGTGCAGTGCTCGGGGGAATCCGAAAGATGGCACCGTGCTGGGCATCGTGGTGGGGTGGCTGGGCACATGAGAAAAACACGTTCTTTGCTCCCCATGCTGGGCACGCGTGCGTCAACTGGGCGTGATGAGCAAGTTCTGCTACGGTTTCGCCTGGAGTTTCAGCGACGAAGAGTCCACGAAAGCCATGGGTGTCTTGTCCACGTCGCAACCGCCGGTCGCATGGACGAGGCGCTGGGCAAGACTGGTTTGGGCTTACTGCAGGCCATGGGTGTGGACTGCGTGGTAGATGGGCCGCATGGAAGGGTTGCAAGAAAGAGTGAGATTTGGGATCCTTTCAGTTTGCAAAGCGTCGCTTTAGGCACCTAATCGAGTTGAGATGGGTAGGGCTGGCGTGCCTCAACCAGCCAGAAGCGAAAATCCAACAAGAGTTGAGGCGGCTTCCCATGGCTGGATCCAGCAGCTGGAGCCTTCGCTCGACAGAGAAGCTTGCTGAACAAGAACAGAACGCCCATTTTGCAACACAAATCGACCCCGGCCAAGCAAAAAGTGGTAGATAGATGAGAACATCCTCCCTTTTTTGGAGTGATTGGATCAATCTGGTGGCGAGATGCCCCCCCAAATTGGAGGGTGAAGCTGGCGTGCTGAGCTGTCAGGGGTGCTGAGCCACGGGGTGAACACAGACAGTCCTTCGGCTCGGATGTCAGGGTCTCCACCTCTATCCGGGCTGACCTTGCGACGTGTTCTTAACAGGTTATTTTGCTTTTAAGATGAGAAAGTTGGAATGAGTTGAGCTAGCTCTTTCGTGTGACATTTGCACGGCCAGAACTTCGATTGCTTTGTGTGCCGCCCGCCCTCGGGAGAGGCAAGAAGCGGAGTGGGAGGGAGAGAGGGAGGGAGGGAGGGAGGAGCTCCACAAAGAACGAGGGGCGAGTTGAGACATGTTAACTTGACGGGAAACTGCACTGAGAAAGGAAGGCACCCAAGGAAATCACTGCTCTTTTGTCCAGATACAAGCACCCAAGAAATAAGACTTCAGACTTTTTCAATGCTCGGGCTCGGAGTCTGGAACTCCTGAAGGTGAGCGGCCTGGGATACAAGCCGAAGGCTGATGATTGGGGCCGCGGGGGTTGGTGGATTGGGTGGTAGTGGAAGGAGTGAAACATCACCTGGTCATGTAGACTCTTGATTCATCACCCCCAGAAGAGGGGTTACAATTAATCCAAATGAGAGGGTTTGTATTCATCAAGAGTCCATTAGAGGGCACTGTTTTTGCTTTTTCAGTTTGAGCAGTTGATATACATCAACTGAAGTATGCTTGATTTCTTTAAGTGGGGAACTGACTTTTTTTGCCGGAATGCACATCCCTGACCCACCCCAGTCCTATCCAAACCGAGCTCCGGGGGAAACCCATAAAAACGTGCCATCCAACGAGCTCCAGCAGTTCAGTTGGGCCGTACGAGCTCCAACACCCAACACCCAGCACTGTGCACCCGTCTCACCCCCTCGATAGGGAGAGCAGAGGAGCCATGCCGCCGTCATGCCGCTGTTCTCCACCTCGCGACGACCGGTGTCCCTTCCTTCGTGGCTTCTTCGGGTGGCATCGACCCCCTTTTTCAGAGAAGAACTGGAATGGAACATACACCATTTTCCATGTGAACCAGCACCAAAAATAAGGGGTACGTGATTGGAAGGACCGAGAAATAAAGGAAGAACACCTGAAACATCTATAGGTCACCCAAACTCCATGGTGCTGGTGCACCCGCACCTCGCCAGACCTTTTGAGGCCGAACCGGAGCTCGAAAGCGGAGCTCCACTTCGGGCGCCCGCGTCGACTTCAGTCGGGGGGCCTGGGCCGGGCGGGGGGGCAGGTGGGTGGGGAGCTCTCTGATTTGGGGGATCGCACAGACGGAACGGAAGAGATGAGTACACGGAACGGAAGTGGCATGGAAGTGGCATGGAAGGGGCCCCTTGGAAGACCATTTTCCTCTACAACCAGAAAGGTTTTCCGCTTCCACGTGAGTTCCAGGGAACGTAAGTGGCGGAACATTTCTGAGCTCACTTGGCTCACTGCCAGGTTCGCGACTTTGCCTTACATCTCTGAGAACCGGTGGAAAACCGCTCGATTTCCGCAGCAAACATCTTGCACAAACAGGTCTCCCTAGGAACGAGTGCCCGAGCAGAATCGAGTGCAGCAAGCCATGGTCTGACTGATCATTGACGCCTGTTCCTTTGTGGGCAAGAAGATCCAGAAGGCGAGGCTTGGTCAGATCTGCTTGGGCTTTCAGTTTGCTGAAGTTGCTGAGGGAGGTCTTTTCTTAAGAGAGACATTGTCAGAGAACAAGAAGCAAGTGAAAAGGTAGATAAATCGGATTCCCTTCTCTTGGTTGAGAGAGTCCTATTTGTTGTGACGCACAAACAGGTTTTACTGGAGTATGCCCGGTCATGTTTGCTAGTCGAATATAGGTGAGCTCATGAGGAATAGACGTTATATTTACATAACAACTGAGTTCCACAACATTGTGTGAGGCCCTTCTTTCAGCCTTTGCACCCACGATGATGTTGCGCGAGGCAATGACAGGCGTGGAAGATGAGAAGCCACGGGGCGCTTGCCCGCTGAGCAGCAAGGCAGGAGAGGAGACAGAGAGAGACACAGAGAGAGACACAGAGAGAGAAAGCGAGAGCGAGAGCGACACGCACCAGGTAGTCCTGTCCCTTAGTTGGTATAGCGGTATAGCGTTATTCTTTGCCCCACTGACAGACTGAGTCAAGAAATCCCACAAGGGACAACAGCTGGGTGAGAATTCGCTGCAAAGAAGATCAAAACAGAAAACCAGCACCGGGCAAACAAAATGAAGAGCACCCACCGAGGGATGAAGATGAGAGGATGATGCAAAGAAGATGGATCGTCAATTCTGTGGCGTAATTATTCCTTTTTGGCTTCGCTCAGAAACAGCAGAGATTCAGAAGTCCCCAGAGTAGAGAACGCGTTACACCCGATTTATCTTTAAAGGGGCTCAGCAGGGGGTGTGCTTTTCATGTTTCTATCCTTTGCTGGTTGGCGCACAGGCTGTGGAACCCTGTTTCTCTGAAGATTCAGCCATCCTCAGAAGCTTCAGGGAGCCTTGTGGTCTGTTGGAGAAAGCTTGGTCAGATCTGGTAGAAAGAGATCGACTGCTTTTCTGCTCCTATCGCGTCCAAGAAAATCTAAAGTGACTATGTTATACCTAGAACCTGAATGACCTCTATTTTGGACCACCAACCACTCAAAATAAGGTCTTTTCCTATCAACACAGAGGTCAAATGGGCTCTAGGTAGGGGAGGAGTCTTTTTGGGTCTTCCGAATCTTTTCTCAGGAGAGGCTGCTTCAACTGAGGCATCACGCTGAGGCATCACGCTTTGACGGACTTCCGAAACTGCAGAGGAACCCCTTTCGCTCTCGGCTCTCGGCTCATCTAGCGGAAAGCAACGGCGACACCAACCGCAGGAGCCGTGAATCCCCAAAACGGCGACCGCGGTGCTTCCCACGCGGCGACGAGTGTCGCGAGAGTCGCGAGCGTCGCGGCAGGCGGCGGTCCGATCGGACCGGATGGGAGGCGACGGTGCCGCCGCCTCGGCGCCGTTGAAGGCGGCTCGTGCGGAGGCGCCTCGCCGCGGCTCGTGCGCGGGCGGCGCGGTGCGGCGCGGTGCAGGGGTTGGTGCGAAAGCTGGGGGTGTTTGGGTGGGCGTGAGGTGGTCTCGGTGGGTGACTGAAGGTTTGGAGGTTCGAACTGCTGACGTGGAAGCATTGAGATGAATGGGCAGCCGGTCGACTCCGAATCACCGGTCGACGTCTTTCTCGGACGTAGCTCCCCCAAACAACCTGCTAGTCGCAGAAGAAGGATTGCCGGTCTTTCCACGCGACATCATGTAGGCCTATAATATATTCTAGGATGGGTTTGAAACAGCCCAAGGGGTGCATCAAATTGTGGGTCTTAGGTCATCCATTGAAGGGTCCATTTGTGCAGATGCAGTTTCTTCTGTGACGGGAGCACTGACCAGGATGCCTTGTTGGTGCGGCGGTGAGCTCACATAAACATATGATTGGGTGTGTATGAAGCCATCGTCTAAACGTCAAACCCGCTGAGGGCCTGTCAGTGCCTTCCCAATTAATTCATGCCCGACGCCACCGCACCAGGGCCCACGGACCTCCTCAGCCCCGAACCGTTAGCGGCCGCGACTCGGACGTGTCCGAGAGCCAAGTCGTCGCTCCCTGGGGCAGCGTTGCAGGGAGGACTGCCCAGAAG